ATAGTCAAGGCTATGGTTTTCCCAGTTGCAATATATGGCTGTAAAAGCTGGACCATAAGGAAGGTTGAGCACCAAAGAATTGAGGCCTTTGAATTGTGGTGCTGGAGGAGACTCCTGTGAGTCCCTTGGACTGCAAGGAGATCAAACCAGTCAGTCCTAGAGGAGATCAAACCTGACTGCTCTTTAGAAGGCCAGATACTGAAGATGAAACTCAAATACTTTGGCCACCTAATGAGAAGGAAGGACTCCCTGGAGAAGAGCCTAATGCTGGGAACAATAGATGGCAAAAGAAGAAGGGGACGGCAGAGGATGAGGTGGCTAGATGGAGTCACTGAAGCAGTCGGCGTGAGCTTGAGTGGACTCTGGGGGATGGTGGAGGACAGGAAGGCCTGGAGGAATGTTGTCCATGGGGTCGCGATGGGTCGGATGCGACTAGCAACAAAATTAACTTCGAGGCCTGAGTATATGAAAATCATTGGCTGAGTTCGTACAACAACCTATTACTGTCCTTTGTTGCAGAAATGGGAATTTTTACCTGTTCTCAACAAGATTGTACCCCCCTCCCCCGGCAACTTTAGTATTTACAGCAGAGTGAATTCTGTCCCAAACCTCTGCAGGCCTGGGTAAAACTAAAATTACTTCCCCCTTTCTTACAAAAGGGAAATGGAGTTTGGTGATTAATTGTCAAAGCAAATGCTTTCTTTAAAAAGGGTGGGGGAAAACATTTAGCCTTAGCTGACCTTGCAGAGTCTGAAGAGAGAATCCAAAATTTGCCCTTCCATGAAGACTAGATGGGGAAACTCTCAAAAGATAAAGATCTGAGAAGAACATGTAAATCCCTCCTCAGGCAAAGATACTTCATGGCTAACTTTTCTCCAGAAAGGTTACGTTCTGTGCACTGTCAAAAGAAATTAGCGGGGTGGAGGGGTTGATTTTTGAGTCTAATCTGGACAGCGTGCAAGGTGGGTGCCTGCTGCCCCTTGGATGTTGCCCCAGCCAAGGCTTGAAATCTGTGCAGTTGCACTTAAGCAAACAAGCTCAATTGTGGAACTGCCATTTGCATTAAAAAATGTTCACACTTTTTGTCTGTAGGAGGGCCAAGGGAGGGGGTGGGGGAGGGGCTTGCTACCTCCTTTGTCAGTGACCCTAGTTCCTGGGCATAGACATAAGATTGACACCACCAGTATAGACACCCTTCCAAAAATACAATGATAATTCATGATATTATTCCCAAACAAGAATCAGACGTCACTTTTCTAATAATCAGTTTATCATGCTTAAGTTAAATCTGGTTGCTTACCATTCTCCTAGGCAAGAGAGTTTTTCCCAGCTAAATGAAAGTGCAGTAACTTCTCCTTCAGATCAGCCATCCTTGAGCTCCACCCACCATACAGGAACAGGGCTAGGAATTTTCCTGGGCTCCTTAACAAACAGGAATTGATGTTGCATGCTTACTCTTTCTGGTTTTCTGGCTTCTAGGGAGAATTAGAAGTTTCAGGGATAACATGAAGAAGTTCCCTTTGGTCAGACCTAAACGAGGAAACTAAAATGTATTCTGTATAACGTGCTTTACTCATAAAGGTTAAAGGTATAGTTTATTCAGGCAATAATTACGAAGTTACTGAGTTCGTAGTTACATTTTGTGAAACACAACAATTTTGTTAGAAAAATGGCTAAGCATAACATAACTTTAGGAACTTTAGGTCTTGCGCTTGGGGCATAGGAATGGCTGTCATAAGTACAGGTTATGGGACAAGTGGCTGGAGAGCAGCACTTGCGAATGGGACCTCGGGGTGCTGGTTGACTGCAGGCTAAACATGAGTCAGCAGTGTGATGCGGTGGTCAAGAGGGCGAATGCCACCCTTGGTTGCATAGCCAGAAGTGTGGCTTCTAGATCAAGAGACATAGTACTACCACTTTATACAACTCTGGTGTGCCCGCAACTGGAATATTGTGCTCAGTTTTGGGCCCCTCATTACAGGAAGGATATAGCCAGGTTAGAGCCAGTGCAGCGTAGGACCACAAGGCTGGTGGCCGGTTTGCAGGGGATGCCGTATGAGGTGAGACTGAGGGAACTGGGTCTCTTCAGCCTGGAGAAGAGGAGACTCAGAGGGGATCTGTTGGCGACATACAGGTATGTGAGGAGGTATCACACGGAGGTGGATAGAGACCTGTTCTCCCTTGCAGAGGAGGGCAGGACGCACTCCAACAGAGCAAGGCTCAGAGATCCCAGGTTCAATTTAGATGCCAGGAAGCACTTCGTGACAGTTAGGACCCCGAGGGTGTGGAATGGGCTTCCATGGGAGGTTGTTGAGGCCCCATCAGTGAGGGTGTTCAAAGATGGGCTGGACATGCACATGGTGGGCATGTCATGAGCGGAGCCGGCTGGAGCTGGGAGTCAGACTAAATGGCCTGGGAGGCCCCTTCTGACTCACTTTTATGTTTCGATAAAAGCTTCTCTATGTTCCTAAAGCAGGCCTCCCCGACCTGGTGCCCTCCAGATATTTTGGACTGCTGTGCCCAGCCAGAATTCCTGACCACTGACTAGGCTTTCTGTGGCTGATGGCTGTCCTCAAGTAAGAAGGCTGCTTGAGATATGTAAAGACAGGGGTGTCATGATCCTCCCCAGCATCTGTCTCTTCTCTGTTTGCGTACTTCTCATACTCCACCCTCACTTCGGAAGCAAGCTGAGTTAAGAAGAAATCTGCAGATGTGTGGCAACTGGCAACCTTCTTCCACAGGGGTCACATGCATGGGAGACAGTTGCTACTTGCTCAGTGTTCACAGGGGCTTGATTCCCAGCAGGCACTCAAAGGAATGCTTGGCATACTTGCCAGGAAAACAGCCTCATGGCCATGTGAAAGTGGGCCAGAGTCTGGGGAGCCAAGCCCAGGAATCCAACAGATTCCCAACCCCCAAATGGATTCCTCATATCCCTATGGAAAGAGCAACCCCAAAAAAAGTCTTGCTTAGTTGCCAATACCCCACAATTAACCGCCTTTAATTATAGTTTCTTAATAATATGGCACAGTATGGGTAGAGAACTGTTCTCCCCTGCAGAGGAAGGCAGGACTCGTTCCAGCGGAGCAAAGCTCAGGGAACCAAGGTTCCATTTAGATGCCAGGAAGCACTTCCTGACAGTTAGGACCCCGAGGGTGAGGAATGGGCTTCCACAAGAAGTTGTTGAGGCCCATCGGTGAGGGTGTTCAATGATGGGCTGGACATGCACATGGTAGGCATGTCATGAGCAGAGCCGGCTGGAGCTGGGGGTCAGACTAGATGGCCCGGGAGGCCCCTTCTGACTCGCTCTGTTTCTATGTTTTTATATTGCATTCCAAATATAATAGGCATTACATTTATGATTGTAGGATTCTTTCCATATTTCAGTTCTGGATGGTTATCACAGATACTTAGTCCTGAGAAGACAAGGTGCTCTGTTTTATGTTGTGCAACCACTTGGGTATTTGGTGTGTACCTTTTTAAATTTCTGAATGTTTATAACCAGATTAACTGCATAAGAACAAGATTTAGTTTTGGTCCCATGGAGGAACAAGTTGAGGAAAGTTCTAAGCCTAGACCTCAGGTCTTGCTTTGCATCTGTGCCTGAATTCAGACGACCAGTTGCCCTCTTGTCTCTATGAGGATCTTACTCTTAATGCAAAGATCAAATGCTCTATGGGATCAAAGGCATTCTTCTCCAACCAGGACATAGGCTGGGTTGATAAAGAGTGGCTGGTTTCAGGTCATCCACATACTTAGTAGTTACTTGGGGATTTGGCTCTCTTCCCATTTCTTAATATCACATATTCTATATGGCATTGACGTTGTCTGATTGTTATTTGTTACATTCATAGGGCTGATTCATAGTGCTACATGTCTGGTGTCATGTATCAGTTTGTGTGCTCATATAACACTGGTTGCTTGTTGAAGCCTGGGCCCAATTGAAAGTGCTCGTTTTAATATGCAAAGCCCTAAATGACTTTGGGGCCCGGTTACTTGAAGGACTGCCTTTTTCCATATATTCCTACCCTCCCATTGAGGCCTGGAAATGAGGTCTTTCTGAAAGAGCCATCCCTAGAGGAAATAAAAGGGATCGCAATTAGAAGAAGGCCTGCCCAATGACTACCCCCCAAGTTTGGAATGGGCTTCCTAAGGAGGTCTACCTGGGACCATCACAACTTTCACTTTGGTGCCAGGCAGGCAAAAACTGTTCTCTTCCAAAGTTATTTTGAAAACTGACTTTTAACACCTCATAGTAAAAGCTCACTTTGTTCCCAACAGGTTTCCCTCACCTCTCCTTCCCTCTGTACTTATAATTGTACTATATTTAAGACGGTTAGTTTAGCGAACCCTCAGAGGACTATTCAGCAGCCTATACATTTGAAAATCATAAATCAAACCAGCATGTCTTGTTTTAAGGATCTCATGTGCTCACTGAAATTAGGCTCTTTATTTGCCAGAATACAAAATGAAACACAGAAAAGTTTCTTGAAATTGATATGTGGTAGTCAAGTCTTTCTACCTAGCTAAGAGGTGTTTTGCTCCTGTAAGCAACTGAAATATAACCTTCAGAATAATGATAACAACATGAAAATGGAGAAAAGTGAAAGCACAATTGATATTGACCTAGAAAGAAGTGACTCCCAATATATTGGGCTATGGCAGAGTTCCTTAATGAAAGTAGCCCATGCATGAAGCATTACTCACACTGCAGGAGAACAGTAGGGGCAGAGTGTAAGTAGTGCTGCCAGCATGGCGCTCGACTGCGCTTCTGAAGGAAGAAGGGAGCATGCTCAATTAATACCCAAGCAAGTTAGAGTGTTGCTGTTTGACGCTCAATAAAGTTTCTCATTCAAAGCTGTAGATTGAAACTTGCTTTTCAAGCATTCCTGCAATAAATTTGAAGAACCTTGTTGCTGGGCCTGAACCTTGTTGCTGGGCTTTACATGCACTTGACTTATCAAGGAGCGTGATTTATCTGTTACTCTTCTTTCAAACAGGAATAGACATCCTGAAGCTGGTGGCAGCTCAGGTTGGAAGCCAGTGGAAGGATATCTACCAATTCCTGTGTGATGCAAGTGAGCGAGAGGTGGCAGCTTTTGCCAATGGATATTCCGCGGATCATGAAATGGCTTATGCTGCTTTGCAGCACTGGACCATCAGGGGGCCTGAAGCCAGCCTTGCCCAGTTGATCAGTGCCCTCCGCCAGCATAGACGCACAGATGTGGTGGAAAAGATCAGAGGTTTGATGGAAGATACGACACAGGTAATGCCAGATTGTGTTTCTGTAGGTGGTTAAGTGCACCAATATAATTATTAATATTTGATATTATTAAATTAATATTAGCAATATTAGTTATGTCACTGTTGCTGTGTGCAGAATAGCCCTTTGCAGCAGTTAATCACATGATGTCATTCAGAATTTCTCTTGACAATTTTGTGTATGCATTAAACTTGTAAAACCATGAAGAGGTGAATTTTCTCATTTGGAGAAGTAGTGTGGAGAAAGATGTGTGAATACTTGCAGGTAACTTACTTATCAACTTACTTGAAATGAGGCTTTTAGTATCTGTTGAAGATAATTAGCTGAGAAATTCTAAAAATCAAAACCCTGGGGGACTTGGAGGTGGAGAAGCAGTAGTTTTTCTCTGCAGTTTCTGGAGGGCAGGCTCTTCTGTGAAGAGGAGATCTTCTCATGATTTTCTGTCTTTTGCTTATCTCCATAACACTGTAAGAAACTGGAACCATTCAGCAGTCGCCAGAGAAACCAGAGTGCAGGGTAGGGTCACTCTGGAAAGCTGGTATCAGGATAATGCCCAACAATCTCAACATTAAAGGTACATTTACTGTAATAGACATTGTTGACAGTTCTGGAGAAACAACAGAATGCAATATTGTATAACCCAATGTCAGCAGCAGCTTTGTACTTATTTGTCTAAAGGCATCTTCCCTGCATTTGTTAGTGTTAAAGGAAGTAAGCTTGCATTTTGTTTTATTTTCAAATTCAGTATTTCACAGGGATGTTCATAAGATGCTGTTTGCTTAAAAGGTACCGTCTGCCTAATGCAGCATGGTGCATTGTTGGACCAAATGCCAGAAGCTTACATTTTCCAGAACCAGTGTAGTGTGGTGGTTAATTTGTTGAACTGGGGAGATCTGGGTTCTAGGTGTTGCTCAGCCACAAATTCACTGGGTGCTTTGGGCCCTTGGCCTTACCGCACAAGGATGATGATGATGATGATGAAAAAGGAGAAGAAGAAGAAATGGGAGTGGAGGAGGACATGTAAGCTGCCTTGGGTTCTTTGCAAGAAGTAAAAAAGTAGGATAAATAATATGTGTATACAGCTTTTAAACATGTTTCTCTTTCCTTCAGTAAATGTGCTTTGGATGTGAGTTCAGTAAATCAAATAAATGTGAGGTGTGGCTGTCCAGAATAGCAATTATTTATTTCTTGAGGGACAACTTTGCTGTTGTATGTTGTCTGCAGTGTGCTTATCTGAAGGTAGCTATTGAGCATGTAGAATTATTAGCTGTAACCTTATCATAGCCATCTGAACACCAACCACGGTTTCTGGTTCCCTTTTGATTTTTAAATAATTAATAGTGCAGTGTTATGCACTGTAGTTCCTATTCTAATTTTAACTAGCAGAAAGCTAGGTGTTTTTCCCAGCAGTTTTTGCTGTTCATCATGCAATGTACAGCAGTTGTACTTGCATAACATACTACACGAGCTTTGGGTAATATCCAGTGTTAGTCCTTCACATAATAGAGCCATTGAAAAGAATAGAGTAGACCCATTCAACTAACCCTGGCTATTACCCTCTCAGTAAGCTTCATGGCACATCATTGTAACTAGATTGTATGTGACTGTTTCTATTGTAGAAACCAAAGGCCAAACTACATGCTAGCTTTGCTATGTAGTTCTAGCCCAAATGTGGGGCTTTTGCTTTTCTTCCAAAATTTGCCAGTGCAGCAGGCTCAGTCCAGATCAGGACCATAGTGGAGGTCTGCATGCTAAGGTCTGATCTGGACTGGAGGGCACACTAGGAGTTTGTAAAGTGAAGTGACCTGTATTCACATTCCAAATTGCATAGCAAAGGTAGCATTTGCTTAAACTGTGTCAGCAGAATGTTGTGAAGCTGTAAACCTCAACTTGCATATGATGTATCTTGGCTCTCATTAGTGATAGATAGGAAAAGTAACTTATTCGATTTTTACTTTTAATTACATAGATATGCTTTAAGTGTGTCAATACTGCCTGATGAAGATTCAGAAGTTGCAGGAGTAAAATTAGAGAAAAATTGCATTGGTTATAGGATGGGGTTTCATTGCTTTGTTTATCATGCCCAGCCTCTCCCCATGAATAGCAAAGCAGAATAAAATATACATGACAATAAATTTACAGAACTTACACTAGTTGCAGATTTGAGTTACTTCAGCAAAATTTCTGATAAGTGTTATTCATACATTCCTGTCTTAAAGATATTTTGAGTATGGGTTGCTTTTCCTTAGCTCTTATAGTGATACTGTGGAAGCAAGCTCATTAAATTTTATGTTTTGATAAGATATCATTGTCAAATGATCTGGATTTTCATATGGATTTGCCTCAGAGAGTTGCCAAGGTATTATTTGAGCCCTAGTGGTTTAGTATGTGTAAAAACAGTGGGTGTTGTACCTCATTCTTCTCTGCACAGTTTATCTTAGATAATGAATTCCAGGTTTATAGATACTACTGCTGCCTCTTTGGCACTTTTGAAAGCCAGCTATGTTACATAACAGTCCTTCAGTGTTTTGCTTTCAGCAGATGCACAGTCAGCAGATTTGAGTAGCTTTTTCCCTGGGTAATTGGACTTCTGAAAACTGTTACTGCATGAATGCTATAACTGAAGGAAACTGGCCTTTTAATGCAATTGGCCGGCTGATTATTTGTGTTTTTGTTAAAAGATTCAGAGATGTCTCTTCTAAAAAATTCTTGTTTTGGAAGCTTTTGTCATTTTGACCCTGACTTGAAGCTAAAACTGAAGGAAGTACTGTGTGGCACACATCTCTCAGATGCTTATTCTCACCTGTTGGCCAGTCAATGTGGAAAGGGGCTTACCTTGACCAGTCTGACTCTCCAGGCTCTTCACCTGATAGCCTCATGGTTCCATAGTTTGTGAAGCCTCTGAGAACGGCACTGTTCTCAGGATGTTTTTGTTTTCCTTTCCTTTGCAAAGTGGACATGCTCCTGTGTATCTTGGACATGCCTCTGTATATAGGAACAACTACCTTAGTTTTGAATGGCACTCTTTTTCTACCAAACAAAATTATTTATATTTGGGAAGAAGGGAGGAAATGGGGATCCAAAATAAAAATTTCCTGCACATAACAGGAGTGCTCTTGTCCAAGGTTCCAGTTAGCATAGGATAGGAGCTCTGTGGTTTTTGAAGTTCACAGAGACTGGGTTCAGACAACAAAAGAACCTGCAGTCCAGGATTGACTATAGAAAACCCTTTTCCTCATTTCCCTCCAGAATTCTAGAGCTATTAGGGAATAAAGTCAGCCCCACCCTCCAGTCCTTTCATTTATTTGATGGACGCCTTTGACATTCCATGCTTAGCTGCCCTTAGCTGTTTTGAAGTTAATGGATGGGGAAAGGGGGTTGTCAGTTGCGGTCATGCATTTGTAAAGCAAACTTAGGCATGACTCCTAACTAGGGGCCTATCATTGAAAGCGTCACCTTTGTGGAATTCTGTTCACAGGACGGTCCTTCCAGGAGAAGAGGGGAGAAGCAATTTCCATCAGTTTCATAGTGCTTGCATTCCTGAAAAACCCTTAGGAGGGTTGGGGGACCCCTTGAAACAATGGGGGCTGGCACATGGGGACAGTAGGGGAGAGCTGAAAATTATCTTCCCCTTCTTCTCTGCTGGAGCAAAGTTGGATGCAAGGAGCTTTCTATTCAGAGAACTCCTGATTTAGTTCTATTTCTATTTATTTATCTATTTATTTGAAGTGGGGCACAGAGTAAGGGTAGCAAGACAGCTTTTAGCAGATAGAGCTTATTCTTAGAAACACGGCACATGAAAGATAAGTATTGTCAAGGTCACAGATTATGATAGGGCAGCACTTGAACAGAACCCATTTTGAGAAGATAAATGTAAAAATGGCAAAAATAAATGTAGTCTGATAGAAATTTCTTCAGTGGCAAAAATCTTTGTACGAACAATGGAAGTAGTTTGATGTAGGTAAATGAAGTTGTGTTAGGAACAGTTAGCTCCTTAAGCAATAGATTAGATTACTGAATTCTATGGGACTTTTTAGAAAGATCCTATTAATTGTTTTGTCTACATATTTTAGCAATCTGTTGGATTAGACTTGAAGGTAATGTGTCTATGATCCATATAGCCAGGAAAGATCTAGACGAGTCCGAATCATGATCATAGAATAATAGAGAAGAAAGGGGCCAAGAAAGCCATAATGTCTAACACCCACCATTCTGCTCAGACAACTGTCCAGTTTCATCTTTAATGTCTCTAGTGTGGGAAAGCCCTTCACCTCTCCAAACAGCTGGTTCCACTGTCATATTGGTCTGACAGTGAGGAAAGTTTTCCTGATATCTAGCCTGAATCTAGGTTGTTGCAACTTGACTTGATTATTCTGTGTCTTATACTCTAGTACCACTGAGAAGAGATCTTGACCTTTCTCCTTGTGACAGACTTTGAGGTAATTACAGAGTGATTTCCCCCCTCAGTCTTCTCTTCTCAGTGCCAAACATGCCCAGTTCTCTGTCTTTCCTCACAGGGCAGTGTTTCCAGACTCCGGATCATTTTTGTTGCCCTCCTCTGAACCTTTTCTGGTTTTTCTGAATCTTTCTTACATCTTGGCACCCAGAACTGGACACTGTATTCCAAATGAGTTCTGACTAGTGTTTGCCCTAAATTTTGTTGAACACAGGTAAGATATGTACATCGGTCTTAGCCTTTAGACTGAAGAAATCCACAGCAGGCTGTATCTTGAAGATCAGGCAGGCTTTATCTATGTTAGACAGTTGACCTAGAATAAAGGAAGAAGAGGAAGAAGAAAATAAGTAATGGGCATTAAGTGTCTATATATTCACTATTTTGTCAGTTCTAGCTGTATTGAGACATTACTTGAAATCTGTATCTAGCAGTTGTGTCTCTTATCTGTGCTTGAGTGTGCTCAAGCATCTGATCTTGGCCTTAAAAGCCATGCTATGTTCTGGATCATGCAACCTGTGCTGACTCTCAAGTAAAAAAAAAAAAAAGAGAGAGGCGTAAAAGCTCTTACCCTCAAGACACCAATTTAAAGTAACGC